CCCTCAATCCTACACAGTAGTTCACGCTTTCTCTTCCACTCCTCCATTCCCTCCCTAAGCCCTGAACCCTAAATCCTGCAGGTTTCCATGTTCTTTGCCATTCCTTCATTCCCTCCCTAAACCCTAAATCCTACATAGTAGTTTCCATTGTCTTTTGCATTCCTTCATTCCCTCCCTGAACCCTAAAGGCTAAACCCTAAATCCTACATAGTAGTTTCCATTTTCTTTTCCAGTCCTTCATTCCCAGCGAACCAAAGGCCAGGTTAGGGTTCAGGATTTGTAGCAGCCAGAGCTGCAGCAGCTACTGCTACCGCCACCTATGCAGAAGTAACCTCTACTTAAACCATTAACACACAATTCTTCACCCTAAACCCCTAGATGGTAGTTTCATGTACTTTCCCAAAATAGGGGCACCCCAATATAGACCCCCACCTACTATAGACCTTTTTATGTGGACCCCTAACAGACAGCCCGAGTTTTGGGAAACCCTTAAATCCCGAGGCCCAACTACCTGCGCCTTCATCCACCACACCCCAAACCCTCCACGCCCGGCCTCTCTTACTAATTATTATTGACTACTACTAATACTACTACTGATTCCAATAATAAGAATAAAAATAACAGTAATAGTAATAGTAATAAGAATAGTAATAGTAATAGTAGTAAGAATAGTAAGAATAAAAATAAGATAATAATAAGAATAGTAATACTAATAGTAATAAGAATAGTAATAATCATAGTAATAGTAATGTAATATTGATTTGCAGGAAGAAGATGAGCTCGAAGAAAGCTTCGCACCCGGCGAGGATAACTTTCACGATATCTTCTTTAGCACAGCCGTGCCTCGATGAGATTGGTCTCAGGGTGCTGACCACACGGGTCAGGGTTTGGGGTTTAGGGGTTTAGGGGTTTAGGGGTTTAGGGTGGAGAGTAGAGAGTTGGGGAGGGGGTTTTGTGGGGTCCTTCTGGATGGGTCTGCTTGCAAGTATGTAGAAAAAACTGGCCCCACGGCGACACCTCGTGCTTGTATTTGGCGGCAATGGGGTTGAATTTCATTTTTGGAAGGGGCTTCGCAGAAACGTTGGTCCACAAAGTTCGATGGGGATGTTTTGAACGTAATGCTCCTAAGTGTTGGGGATTAGCAGCAATGCCTCGTGCAATCCGTAGCCGCCGTAGCCATGCCAACACTGACACTAACATGGATCCCAACAAATATCGACTTTTTAGGGGATACTGGTTCACAAAGGGATGCTTGTCAGTTTCAGTGTGTGTGTTGAGTAGAGTAGGAGGAGAAATTGAATCAGAACTCCCTGCCGGGGGTCACAAGGGGCTGAACCATCGTGTCCTGTTTAGAAAGACGCGATACTTTAGCACAGTGCTGTGGATATGGGCATCTTCTCAAAAATTAGCACACCCAAAGGAGCAGTCAGGACAAGAGTGACAAGAGAGCTTCCTAGCAGAGTGAGGCCCTTGAATTTGTCAATGCCCCAGAGCAACTTTGAGGGGCTTACCTGAGCCCCAAGCTCTGCAACGGCTTAGGGTTTAGGGATGTTATCCGCAATAATGGAGAGTCAACCGGAAAAGAGCATAGAACATGAGATGTATATCAGGCTTATATACGGGTTATGCCCAGATGGGAATGATAAAGGTATATTATATGTAGGGTTATATGGGGGTAATGGAAACGAAGCTAGAAATTATTGAATTATTCATGGTTCAGGGTCAGGGCCTAGAAGTAATGGAGAATCATGGAGAAGAAAATGGACAAGCAACTGAATCTGGGTCTATATCGGGTGGATGCATACAAGCAAGGAAAACACTCAAGCTAGCAGATCATAACCTATATCCCCCTGTAGATACCTACCGCCCTCAATTGACTCACATATAGCCCACTCTAAACCCTAAACCCTAAACCAGACAGCAATCTCAGCCCAAGAGCAGGCTTGCGATCCTGAAGTTCTAAAGCACTGGAGCCACAAAATCCTAACTTACTGGTTCTGAGTAGTAATAAGGGAATAAGATCCTTATCACCTTGGGTGCAGGGTTTAAGGGTAGCAGGGAAAAAGGGAATATAGAATATAGGTCCTAGAAAACCCTACCCCAGGCAGCTAAGCCCAACAGACCTCAAGCCTCAAGAAGACTCGGCACCTTCAAACGAAGACTCGCGCCCACGGTAGCAGCTTCGCCCCTCAGGCTTGTACCCTAAACCCTAAACCCTAAGCCTCAGGCTTCTGGCAGTCTTCAGTTCTTCTAAGCCAACGAGGCCACTTGCACAGCCATGCTCCTGAGACTCATTGGCCAATGTGAGCCATAGTCTAAAATCCCTTAACTGGGGGTTAGATAAAGGATTATGTAAGGGACTACTATCCTTAAAGGGTGGTTGTATAAAGGATTATGTAACGGACTACTATCCTTAAAAGGGGGGTTGTATAAAGGATTATGTAAGGGACTGCTATCCTTAAAAGGGTGGTTACATAAAGGAGTATGTAAGGGACTACTATGCGGGTTCTTAAGGAGGATACTAGGAGTTTAGACTATAGCTCATGTGGTGGATTCATTCCGTTCCCAGCCGTGACAGTCAGGCCCGCAACACTACACCTGCTATCACCCTGCAAGGCTCATTGATGCATCGCTGGCAGCCTGCACGTGCCACGAAGTTCTGAGCATAAGCGCACCTGAGAATGGCGGCGACGAATTCACTTTTTCATTGAGAGCGACATGCATCACGGGCCGTTTCTTATCAAGGCTGCAGAGGCATCTATACATATTCGGGATTTCTCAAAAAGGGAGGCCCCTAACAGCCTGGGGAAGGTAGAGTCCGAAGCGCACATTGTCGCATGTTTCACCTGCAAGTTCCAGAATCTTGTTTTCAATCGCATGGCGAAGCCTACTTCCGGGCCGCAAAAGCACCTGAGCACAAGGATCCGATCTTAAGGATTAAAGTAAGGGCGGTAGAACTAAGAGGACGCCAACCCTCTAAATTAGTTTCCGTAAATCGTGGGACCCCAATATAGACCCCGTTATTAGTATATGTACCCCATACCCCTCATTTTGGGAAACCTCCATATTGGGGATCCTTTTGTTCATGTGTTCTTTTAGCCTCTGACATGCACTTCCAACGATCGCCGCCGATGCGCGAGGAATCCAGCTGTCTTACCTTTTTGGGTTTTGGGCTCAGGGTTTAGGGTTTAGGGGTGTTGGGTTTTGGGTTTTAGGCTGAGGTTTTGAGTGAGGACTTTTTCCATTTTTGGGGGGTCCTAAGTTCTTTCTAAAACCTACTACAAGCATCTATAGCCTATACTTAAAAAAGGGAGACCGTTTTAGTCCCAGGCCGCTTTTCATGATAGTGGGTTTAGGGTTTAGGGTTTAGGGAGGGTATAGGGTTTGGGGTATAGGGTTTAGGGTTTAGGGTTTAGGGTAGTCACTCGCAGGGATTGAGTGGCAGAGGGATGTAGCCGTGTTCCGGCCCGAAACCCCAAACCCTGTCGGATGTCGCACCAGCCCTGCATATACTGGGTTACTGTCAAGGAACTTAGTTTAAGTTACCATAAAATGGGTATATAGTTAATAATGGGTTTTCCGTATTTGTAGTAGCTTAGTTTAAGTTCCTTCAGCAACCCAGCATAGGGGGACTGGTCCCAAGCAAATGGTGACCTCAACAGTGCTACACTTGCAGTAAAGACTACACCCATTTACCCTATGCCTTCGTTATTTCAGTATCCCTGGACGAACCGCCTTCGGCTGGCGGATGCTTGCGGAAAGCGCAGCGCCCCCCGGTTTCCGACCGCAGCCATAGCTTGACGCTGCTGGAAAACAAACTTACTGGGGGCTCGTAAGGAATAGGAAATATAAAGCCCTAAACCCCCTAAACCCTAACATATCATACAGGGATTCTATTCCCTTATGCCCTACCAACCCGCGGTAAGAAGTTGGGGTGTAGGGTCCAGGGCTTGGGATTCAGGGCGTGTGCTGCAGTAAGCAAACATGAAGCCTTCATACAAGATACAAGGACCTGGGTTTGTGGTTTTAGGGTTCAGGGTTTAGGGTTCAAGTTTAGGGCTTCAGGGTTTTAGGGTTTAAGGTCTTAGTTCAGGGTTGAGGGTGGTCCATGATTTGCTCTTTTCGGGTTCTAATGGCATTGAGAAAAATTTCCCAGTTTTCTCACATTGCAGTGGTTTTCCTCTGAGCTGTTGCTGCTTGGGGCTCTTGGGTCGCCCCCTCTACCATGATCCCTTCATGTTGCACTGGGGTCTGCTAAGAGCTAAGATGAGAGGTACCCTTTTGGGATCCCTATAACAAAGTTTCAAGGTATTTTGCGATACATATATATATATGCAAGTATATATGTATATGTATATTTGGTCCCCCTGTTCAGGGGGAATTACCACATAGATGCAAAACTGCTGCGACCACTGCGCTTCTGATCAAACACATTGTCCAGAACCGTCTTCGTGATCCCTGTCCAGCAGGAGCTCGAGTAGATGAGGGTGGCAAAGGGCCCTTCTGGCTGCAAGGGTTGCTGTCAGTAACACGGTTATCGATTATCACCGTGCGTATTCTGACTCTTGCAGTGTCACTAGCAATGCTGCAACCAAGCATTTTTCAGCGTTCGCTCGCTGATTGCAATTCATTGATACCTTGTGCTTGCAGATAGCATACTTGCCATCCTGCAATAGCAAAGCATGGGAACTGTTCAAATCAAATTTTGCACCTGGGGTAGCCTCAGCAGGACCACTCCCCCGAAAGCATCACTTACCACCACTTTAGGTCATTCCCCCACTCAGTACTGGGTACCATAAGGGACTATTGTTGGTAAATACAGCCCTTATTATTTCCACATTTAAGGGCTATTACTGTAGGGGCGATTGACCTAAACACCACGCTCGACCCTTCTTGCACAAACGAAGGTACGACTTGACCGCCAAAATGACATGCTGGCAAAACTAGGGCCCCCTCTCTTGTGCCCCACATGCTGTGAAGCTACCTCCCATGATGCCGAGGCGATGTGCCAGCGAGGGTGCGGCTAATCGAAGGCGCTATGCTTACGAGCTTCATGTACGCGGTTTTTCAGCAGGGGTAGGTTTGAAAATACATCAATACATCTTGATTTTTATTCCCCTTAATCCATATATGTATAACCCTTATAAAGCCATCAACAATTCTATAGGGCCGCCAAACCTAGACTTGGAAACCCACGGATGTGCCTTTGGGGATTCGCGGCTAAGAGGTTTTGAAGCCAACTACCAGTTGCATAGCGGAGAGCATGCCGGTTTACTCATGTACTTAGGGTCCGATTGGCCACGGAAGCTGGAATTGAGCACACCTTGCTTTTCAAAGGGCCATGCCTCCACCCCGAAATGGCTGCAAGTCCTGGGCCCAGAACCCAAAGTTGCAAGCGCGAAGCCCTAACCGGCCCTAACCCAAACAGGGCCCGACCTTTTAAGACAGCCCCAAATAACATCTCCAAACAGCTAGGCACACCACTCTGCTTTGCACCAGTGGTACTTCTTCTTCTACCAGGCGATCGCCAGGGTTTAGATTTCGCCACATGACACACAGCCTTCCAATTGGACCTGCCAGACTATTGTCAACTACCTAGACCCTCCTCCTACCCTCTATTAGGGCCTAAGTACCTACTATTAGGGACCATATATCCCCAATTAAGGGTACAAGGAGGGTCCTGGTATACTTTGGGGATCCAGCCTAGCGTTGTTGGGGTCTAGGGACTATAGGGATGTCGGGCAGGGGCTGTGCGGAAATCTTCGTGTTCATGCATTCCTTCAACAGGTTTGCAGATATCCTACAGAGATGATACATATATTGTTCCAGATTGTTGTGCAGTCATCTAGATCAAGATCCCTAGAGCTACATCCCTTTCAACCCCTTTGTTGGTATCCTGGAAATTAAACGTAGCCTCTGGGTTCTTGAGGGTATCCCTGATCCTAGATACACTCGGATTTGGTGCGTATCGGTTAGGTGGACCCCCACCCAGTAATAGTGACTATACCGGATATTCAGGATTATATCAGGGTCCTCTTATATCCCATTATACCACGATTACAGGGATCCTGGGCAAGACCCCAGTATTTCGCTGTTGCCGGGCAGCTAAAGCTGTCCTTGTGGTATACGCCAAAGGATACTAGGCCACAATTACCCTAGAAGGGTGGGGCTTGGGTGTTCCATGTGAGCGAGAGTTGAAATTCCTTAAGGGGTTATACAAGGGACTATAGAGGGGGCGATTATAGGGTTATGAGGGGTTATTAAGGGGCATACTAGGAGTTTAGACTATTGCTCATGTGCAGTTGATGGTTTACGTATTTTGGAAGACGCTATGAAATCATGTTGTAATTGCAAATGATTTTCTGGGGTTCAAGGCAAAGATTTCCCTGCCCGCTGAATCCTAACTCCGTCCGAGCCTAAGTCCTGATCAACCCGAAACCCAAAGGGACCGTAAGTTCGAACGTCGCAGCGTTTCATACTTGGGGGCTCGCGTTGTCGTAGTTGTTGTTGCAAGCAGCATAGCTCTGGTTATCAACGTACTTGCTCTACCTATAACCTGTAGCTATGAACATCCAGGTAGGCAAGGGGTTAGCGTTATTGTGTTGGCATGTTCTGCCCTGTCCAGGCATGTTAGATCCTCGCAAATATCCCTGGCTATCCTTGAAAGCCTGAAGGCATCCGACTGAATACCCACCCCAAAAGCCGGAACCCAAATCTTCGAACTGCCTTAAACCTTCAACCGAAACCTGTCGTCCTAATCCGCGACCCCACAACCCCCCCAAAAAGGAGCCACAGAGTCACTTCTGTCAACTCTCCGCGTCGCCTTCCGGCGCCATATCATAGGCGAGGATCTTTTTCCCGTGTTTTTTGGGCACGGCATTCGACACAGACCTTATTGGAAACATATGTGGATAGAGAATCGGTGGGATAGAATATCCAAAATCGAATCCAGCTTTCGGATGGGTAGGGTTTCCGGGCTTTCATACTTTAAAGTTAGGGTTTGTGCAGGCGTGGATTTTCCTAAACCCTAAACTCTGAACCCTAAACCCTAAAATCCTAGCCACGCTCAATAAGTTCTGAGGACACGATGGCTCGCAGGTGAAGCAGTCTGTGGGCCCAAGTTTCAAGATCCTAGATGTACTGTGGTTTTTAGTGGAAAAGAAAATGGAAGCTACTATAGTATATGTAGGGGCTATTTAGGGATAATGGAAAAGAACAAGGAAACTACTATAATGGGTTACATGTACTACCCGGACCCCAAAAGTATGTAAAAGAATGGCCTTTATGGCTATTATTATGTGTTTAGAGCTATTATTTTACATACTTTTGGGGTTTAGGCATAGTCTATATTCCTTAAAGGGGGTTATATGAGATAAAATAGGATTTGGGGTTTAGGGTCTAGACTCCTTAAAGGGGGTTGTATATGGCCTTATTTGGGGGGCTCTTGTAGGGAATATTAAAGGGTATTCTAGGAGTTTAGATTATGGCTCATATATCAACCTTAAACCCTCAAGATCGTCTTTGCTTGGATGCTGCTACGCTCGAAGAAGTGCATTCGGTGAGTGCGTATTTGTCCGCTACTGCTCCAGCTGTTACATATCTGGATGTCTAGGGAGCGTAATTTGAACAGCAGACATTGAATTTCCATCTTGGCTACAGGTCAAACGTCAGTTCGGGGAACCAAGTGCGAGTAGGATTATATTGCGGCCGTGCCCCGCAGACAGGATCAAACCAGTGTGCCAGTGATCAATTTCACTAAGCCACCTATTGATGGAGCGCTGCAATTCGCAAATTTCATGTCTCTAGCATGCATAGAGACATTTTCTCTCCACTAGATGAATCTAGTGTTGTGTAGTCTCCAAGTAGGAGTGACCCGCCTACAGAGAGCTTAGGGTCTAGCAGCACATTGAATGTTGCCAGCGTTCCAGAAGCAGCAAGATGTCGCAGCTTCACGCAGCAGCTGCTAGGCTGGCCATAGATGTCCGTGAATAGACATCCCTACAATCTCCATCTACTGAGTGCCAAAAGGCCTACTGTTTTTTCTAAAGCCCCAGGTCACATCTCCATCGAATCCTCTTGTAGCCCCTATATGTATAGACATAATATCTAGATATCCCTCGATTCCCCAAGTGCCCCCTTGTTGGGAAGAAACACATCAACAAATTACGGATGCCTGCCCTTGAAGTGTTCGAAGTGCTCCGTCGCAAAGCACCAGGACGACCTTTAAAGTGACCCCTTCGCTCAACCTACCTGCGTAAAGTGGAATGGGGAAACGGATCCAAAAATGATCCCTACATAGTGCTTTATGCTAATGGAAATGGGGATGTCTCTACATAGAAACCCCATATCTATTCTTGAAAAAAATCCAAATGCATCCCTGGGGTCCCAAAGCCATACCAGATTTCACTTCCACGAACCACTTACGGCTCGAGTGCTGAGGCACACGTCTTAGGGGTTTAGGACTGCAGGTTTAGGGCTGGACCCTAAACCCTAAACCCCTGGACACTTGTCAGAGACTTTTGGCCATTCACTGCCTAATCATAATGATGACACAGCGTACGTAATAGTTATAGCAACAACGAGAGGTAACAAAGATGAGGACCTAAACGGAAGGAGCTTGCCCACCAATTTTCTGATTCCATCTTTTGTTCTACTGCTCATTCGTAAACCTCACAGTCCCTACACCCGAACCCCGAAAGCCGAACCTTAAACTCAAATTAATCTCCTCCCCAAACCTTGCTCTCTAAACCTTGCTTAGTCCCTCCTTGGGACTTAGCTTGGACCTTAGACCCTTAACCCTTTGGGATTCCCTTATAGTCCTATTAGGGGTACCTAAAGGTTTGTTACCCTTAGTAGGGGTCCTAAGTGCCACGTAGATCCCTAACCTGAATCCCTAGCCCTGGCGCTTCAGCTCCGGTATCCAGACGGTCTGCTAAGCTTCGTTTGCCGAGGCTCAAAAATCCCAAGATGGAAGCACGTGCGAACGAGCCGGATGGTTGGGGTCATAGGGTATATAGGGTTTAAGGGCTTTAGGCTTTGAGGTGTAGAATTTAGGGTTTTGGGCAAACCCAATTAAGGGTTTAGGGTTGATGCACACACACTCCTCCCCGACTCGATATACTCAAGCCTTTGGAGTGGTGGATATAGCCTTTAGGGTTTAGGCGGTTTAAGGTTTAAACGTGTCATGGACTGGAATGCTCCATGTCATGCAGGATTTCGTTCTTCAACAGTAGTATGGAGAATCAAATCACAGTTTTATATGGGATGGTTGTCAGGGTCGCCCATTACTAATATGGGAAACCTGGTATAGGATGGGGCCAGTATGCATATGGCAGAGAGAAATTCCGTTAGATTTCTACAATGAGAGTCAAGAGTCACGAATCTTAGTCCCGATTGTTGTTTTCTCTGCTCGGGGAGGTGTGGTCTGATTTGTCAGCTCTGCGACATGTAAGCGTGGATGCCAGTCAAAGTCAGAAGCGTGTCCAAACAGTGAATGCGAGAGGTGAATACTGAATATCTGCAGATGTGCTACTGCCAACTATAGTCCCCCTTGAGTAGATAGAATATGGATTTGGGTATATTCTTACCAAATCTCCATATACCCCCATATTCTATCTATTTAACGGGGACTACATAGCAGCACTACCTCACTGCCTGAGGCTTTGATCTAGGGCTCAAGGACTCACCAGCTTTCTCCATAGACTCTTGCAGGCAACATGGGCCAGGCTTTCTCGCGCAGATTCACGCGCAGTGCCGATTCGGATGATGCACCCCTACCCGGGGAGCACCGCCCAATACAACAGCAGAACGCGCAGGATCATCGAAGGTGCGTGGAGATGCTCAACAACGCCACAGCAAGCATGTGTGCTGGTAGCCTTGCAGTGAGTCACAATCCCATCTTTGCAGCGCCTGCTGGCTACGTCTTTGGCCAACATCTCGCGCAAGGAGATGTTCAGAATCCAATGCTGGTTGGCGCCAAACACGGCCTGCACAAGATGTGTGAGGCAGTTTGGACAGCTGAGGATGCCGGTTACCTAAAGCACTACCGCATCTGTGGGGTTCCCTGCCTTGGGGTGGCTGGGTTGTCGAAATTTTTCGAGACATATGAGGACTTTCAGCCAGAGCCTCAACCACAGCCGCAAGCATGGCCTCAGCCTGAAAGGCGAGGATTCCCCATTGTTTATACCACTAAGATGGAAATGGAAGGCAGGCAGTTCCGTATTCACCAATCGCAAGTGACAGCATTCCTGCTGGACAATCAGATTCCTGTCATGGTCTCAGCAGAACTAGAGGAGCACCTGGGACGTGAACTTGCCAAGGTTCTCCCGGTGCTGCACTGTCGCTGCATTGGCAAGTACAGCATTCAGGGGCAGACGCAGGTGGCTACCTTGGGCCAAGACCACTCGCAAGGTTTGAGGCCAGGGGACTCGAAGTTCGAAATTCGAATTGACGAGGAATTTCACGAGTACACGAAAGACCCAAGCAAGTACGAAGACAAGTTGAAGCGTTCTATTCTGAAAGCTTTGGGCCTGGATGCCGTGAACATCTCGGGTGTCGAGCGGCACATTAAGATTGTGCAGGTGAAGCAGGGCAGTGTGATGGCTTGGGTGGTCATTGGACTGGTTGTGTTTGCGGCCGCGACGTTCGCAACATACTACGGGCACACCTCTCGGCCTCGCTCCAGCTGCGCAACGCCGACACCCCCGCCCCGTGCAACATATGTCCTGATGCCGAGCCCCGCTTTGCCACCAGCTCCTCCGGTGATTAGGCGCCAGGTGTCTGACATTTCCTTGAGTGCCAGCAGCGATGGCAGCTTTGAGCTCGTTGGTCACGTGTCGCCTGCACGCAAATGCTACCTCGGAAACACGCTGTTCCAAACGGACTTTGATGAGTACATCGAAGCACGCGAGCTCGAGGTCAACTCAGACGTCCTTGGGATCTCTGGCCAGAAGATTCGAATTATGTCGAAGATGGTGCATGGGCGTTGCATGCGGGATCTGGTAACTATGCACACGGCACAGGGCTTCCTGACCGTTCCTGCAGACCATCGCGTGGCCATAGAGGGACCCAACGGAGTCGCAACAGAGGAAGATGCCGCAATGTTGCAGCAGGGCACGTTTGTGTTCTGCGGCCGCCGGAGGCAGCAGCTCACTCGTGTCGTGGAGTGGCGGAGGGATGTCGAGGCAGGCAGTTTTTGTTAGGCCCGGCAACCCCCTCATGCAATGTCGTCAGTCCTTTTGAGTGAAATTGTCCTTCTCAGGAAACCTTATATCTTGCCATTTGTCATACATTTGCATCATGGCAACTAGCCTTATCAACTGGCCAGGTGGTGGAGCTAAAGTTCTTCCCGGACCAGGCCGTGGACACCTTCGAGGCGGTCCGTTGGGGCTTGGCTCACCGCGGCCGGGTGGCAGCGCTTGGCCCATATGGGCCCTTTTCCGTGGATGAGGAGAAGCCCAGGCCTGCAGGATTGCGCAGGACGCAGTCGGCTTAGCGCTAAGACAAGGTATGGGATCAAAGTTTGCAATTTCTTGCCTCATTCTGATTGATTCCCACGCGATGGGACTGGCAGTGCCAGCTGATCATTATGTGCGCAAGTCATGTGTGAGTCACGTTTTTGGCTTTGAATTGTACAGTGCAAGGTCAAAAAACAACATCGGTCAGTGAAGAGAGCGTTTGCCATATTCTTTGGCTTATGCCTTCCACTGCACTACGGCCTTCAGGGTAGCTGGGGCCCACGTACCAAGAGCTTCTTATTCATGCTCGGACATGACTACATGCTAAAAGAAAGAACATGCAAAGTGTAGCTTTCGCCGTATCTTCACCTGAACATATGTATATTT